CAACCTGTTTTCTTTCCTTTTTTTTTTTTTTTATGTCTCCTACTACTTCTGCCTTTTTCCTTGAGAGGTAATACAGAGCAGAAGAGCTCAAGCCTAGACTCCAATCTAAACCTAAATGTAGCCAGGTGACTGAGGCAAGCAGCACTTCCAATTTCCTCATCTTACATGGGAATTGGGAATAACAGAATGCATGTTATGGACAGTATGCTTCACACAGTAGCACATAGTAAAGATCAATAAATGTTATCTAGTATTCTCTACCTATGTCTAAACTGCCAATGACAACCTGATAATGACCCTTGAACTAAAGAGGTTACTGACCCAGAGAAGAGTACAAAAGGCAGTGGTTGTTGCACAGGATGAGTGGTTCTAGAAAAAATTACATTAATAATATTACAATCAACCCCTGACATGAAAGTAGCATAAACTACAAAAAATTTTGTTTTTTGATATTACCTTCTATTTTTCTCCAATCCTGTTCAGAATTTATGATGCTTAAATTTCCCATTTAATAATTTTCATAAATCATTGACAAATTCATGAGCACAAGTCCAAACAGAGTACTATTTTAAGAGAAATTTTCAAGAACTTTCACTTTTTTAGGAGATTTATTTATACATCATCCATATTATTACCTACTCAATAAAAAATATTTCTATAAAACAACACTGTTCCAAACTAGTGCTAGTTAGTGTACAGATTTGAAAAGAATAAACTACGTACCTATAAAATAGCCTGTAAATTAAAAAAGGAATCACTCAAATTAGTTCTAAATAATAAAATCCATGTATTTACATTTGCTGATCAGTTAATGGCAGATTATTTGCATCTATGTGGCCTCCTCAAATTACAGAGCCCTACTAGGCTGGCATACAACAGACATGGCTAACACAAATTCACAAATAAAAATCCAGTTTCAGAAGCCCTTCAGAAGAGCCCTGTAGAAGGAGGGTGGAGAACAAGTGGAATGTCCATGAATAGTCCATCCCAACATTTAATTAACAAACTGCACACTGAGGAGCCAAGAGGAGATAAAAAGGACAAAAGGAAATCACAACCTCCCCTAACAACACAGAGCCTAAACAACAGGTGATATTACCAATGCAGTGATGCCAATGCTAGGCTGGGCTTTCTTAAAGACACTCTCCCTGTCTCTGACTCAGAATCTCTAGTGGTAGGGCCCACTGTACTTTTGAAAACTCCCCTAGTAATTGGGAGTATCACTGTGTGGAAGACATAGTTTCTTGTCATGAGACGATGTAAGTTTGTCTTAGCTGTACCACTCATAGCTGAGAAGCTCTAGACCTGTTACTCTAAAACTGGGGTGATGCACAGACCACACAGGAGCTACCCTCTCTTCCTCCTGGTCCCACTGTTTCAAACCCTTCCCAGCCTTCACTAAGTAGTGCTATTTGTGCTGGCTGTCTCACAGACCAATCTCCTTTACCTGTATCCCAAAAGAGTAAAGGCCAGAAGTAGGGTGCAAAGTATTAACCAAACTAGAATCAGACTCCAAGAAGTCACATATCAGTAAAGTCAAACTAACGACAGACATCTAAATGGTGATGACACTGTTAACAGTATGCAGGGGCACAGGGGCAGGTCATAACTAAGTCCATCACTTACTAGTAGCTATGTGGCCCTGTGTATATTACTTAAGTCTATTTCCTAATCTGTAAAACAGGGACAGAAACCATATCAAACTCACAGGGTTGTCTGAAGTTTTAAATGAGATAGTCCATGAAAAGTGTTTAGTACAGTGCCTGGTGTACATAGTAAGTTAAGTGTTCAGTAAATATTAACTTTTAACCCTGGAAAAATTAATGCTCCAAGGCTTTTAGAGATGCCTGGGTGAGTGAGTGCAGAGCCTGGTCTTCTGACTTAAAAGCTTCTCCCTTTTATCTGCATTCTCAGGTAAGGTAAGAACTTCTAGTCAGTACATCCAACTGATGCAGATTTAACAAAAGTCCTCAAGGACAGAACCAAGCCGTATCATGGGGTAGGTAGGAAACCCATTAAAAGGCAAGTGCAAAGCATCTGGGTCTGACACTAGTAGTCATTTCTACACTCCTGCTCCTTAGGGCCCTTTCTTGTTGAGGCCTCAAGTCCTTTCCATCTCCAGGGTCCAAGTCAAGGATAGACTGAAAACTTACCCAGAGGAAAATGAGACTGGTGGTAAAGCCTGAGGGACCTGTCACCTGTACTCCTACACTTAGGGACAATGGAAGTGTGAAACAGCAGTGGCTTTCCCCAAGACATGCAGCCCAGTGTACAGGATCCTTCTCACTCCAACCCACCTTGATGCCACTAAGTGCTTAGAAAAGGAGAATCAGTGCATGAAGTTCTGGGGAGTGGGAGGGGACATATTGCCTTTTCCCAGCTTCTCTCCACCCCCACAAAACTCCCATCTTCTACTTCTCTCACCTTGTACTCCTGCACCACCTCCTCCAATGGCACCACGCTGTGCTGTTTGTGGCTCCTGGATTCTCGACACACCACACATATGGCCTCTTCATCCACCTCGCAGAAGAGCTTCAGGGCTTCCTGGTGTTTGGGACAAATGCCCTGCTCGTTCCCACGGCTCCCTCGACCAGGAGTTGGGTGCATCTGTCGAATCACCTGGACCATGTTGGCCAGCTGCAGGTTGGGGCGGAAGCTCCGCCTGGGAAAGCTCTTTCGGCACTGGGGGCAGGTGAAGCACCTCCGAGGGGCTGGAGGCGGGGGCAGTGGGGTGACGGGGTCTAACTCCTCTTCCTCGTCCTCCTCCAGCACTTCCTCCTCGTCCTCCTCATCCTCCCCTCTCAGGTCCTCCTCCATGTCCCCCAAGTAGTAGTCCAAATCTTCCTCCTCGTCCTCCTCCTCCCACACATAGTCCATGTTGTCCCAGTTGGACCCGCCCATGCCACTGGTCCAGAACACACCCTCCTCTTCCTCCTCGACCTCCTCCTCCATGTCGCCCTCATAGTCTTCATCCCTCATGGGGGTGTCCCACCCTCCACCGGCCCCCACAGCCTCCACCTCCTCCTCCTCTCCGTCCTCCTCTTCCTCTTCCCGGTCTAACTCGTCCCTGTCCTCCTCATCTTCCCCTCCCCACAACTGGGTTACACACACTCGGCAGAAGTTGTGCCCGCAGCCGATGGACACGGGGTCCGTGAAGTAATCGAGGCAGATGGCGCACACCGCCTCCTCCTGAAGGGTCTGCACAGGGTTGGGTGTCATGGCAACGGCAGCCATCTTAGTGTCCAGTCAGCCAGTGTAGATGGGCGGTGGGGGGGCGGGGGCGGGGGTCTTCCCTCTCAGACGCCCTGACGACCCGGCCCCACCCCCACCCCGCCTCTCCACACCTTGCCTCAATCGCAGACACAGAAAGGTCCTCCCGACAACCCCCCCTCCACAAAGTTCCCTACTCCTAGACGACAACCGTGTCTCTGCGAGGGGAGGGGACAGAGCTGAGCGCTACAGCCAAGTCCCTCAGGTGGCCCTGAGTGCAAATCTGTCCCAACGCTCCCTTGGCCTCCTCATAAACCCCCGCCCCTCCTCACTTCCTGGCTCCGCCCCCTCACTTCCGGCCTCCCTCTCAACACTTCCGGTGTCTGCGAGTCACCTAAGCTCGCGAGTTCCCCCCGCGGTAGCGCTACGCCCCCTTCTTTCCTCTCGGGCCCCTGGGCGACAGGAAACGGCGAGGAGACGCTCTAGCAGGCACACGGGAACAGGACGGGAGGGCTACAACGATGGAGGCCCACGTCTCTGTAATACGAAGGAGCAGGGAACGCGGACAACTCTAAAGGACCGGCCTCCTCCATCCCCCGCCACTGGGGATAAACTTCGGGGAAAGGTTGAGGCTCTTAACGGCCGTCCGCTCTCGGTGCTATGACTGCGTCGGCCCAGCGCCATCCTACTAACCGGACAAGGAGGACAACGCCAGGGACTCCCCACAGCTGATGCCGGAAGCGGAGGGGCGGGTCCCGGTGAGCGCCCTCAAGTACTTCCGGCCCTTCTAGGCCGAGGACTTTGTTGGTTGGGAACTCAGAGTGCCTCAGGGATCCAGAAGGCGACCGGACATCTTCTCCAACCTCCCCACTGTAGTTGGCATTTCCACGCGCATTAGAAACTGCCGTCTGGTCACTGTCGTAGCGTTTAGATGAACTTTTCTAACTGCCCATCAATAAAGGAGTAGTGAAACCGTCACATAAACATTCACACAGTGGAACACTCTTTATCTGTAAAAAGGGAATCCTTCACGATTTACTCTGAAGTGAGAAAAGCAAGGTGCTGAAAAGTGTAGAAAAGGGGGGGGTTAAAAATGTATTTGATATCTTTGTAGTCCTGTGCTTACTCGTATAAAATAAGTATAATAGTTGCCATCAGAGGGTTTTGTGAAATTAGAGTTAATACAATTTCAAAGCTATGTTGCTTAACATATAGTGAGTTAAGTCATTCAGCACTTTCTGAGTGGGCACCATGCATGCTCCGCGTCCAAACTACCTCGAGGTCTGTCTTCATGGAGTCTCAGTCTAAGAGAATGGGCTCCAGTTCGGTTTGTGGTATTAAATTATTATTATTATTATTATTATTATTATTATTTATTTATTTATTTTGAGAATCTCATACAGGCTGTAGAACTATGCTACCAAAGATGCTGCTTTCGTACGTAGAGCATCTCTGCCAAATAGATTATTCGGGCGATTGAAATAATACTTGAGGAATTTTTAAAAAGAAAACAAAAACTGGAGGGGGAGTTACAGGAACGCAATTCATGTACAGAAGTCTCAGTGAATGCGAAACGCTGCGGAATGCCAGGGCTGCGCACGCAGAACTCACCCTGTTCTCGAGGCGCTTTCCACCTAGTAGGGAAACTCGGAGTGAACGCCTGCTTCCTCGGAGGGGTGGCCTGAAACGCTAAAATCACGAATTCTCGTTGGTGAACAACTGTAGGAAGCCACGCCAAAAGAAGTGTGGATAGGAGACCTGAACACAGTTCAGCCGGCAGCTCAGAAAACGCCAGTCACTTACTTGGAAGTCTGGGTTCCTTCAGCCCTTTAATCGCCCCAGTGTAGCTTCTAGGTAGTGTTAGTCACACGCGAATGATGTGGGTTTCCGTAGTGTAGTGGTTATCACGTTCGCCTCACACGCGAAAGGTCCCCGGTTCGAAACCGGGCGGAAACAGGATTATAGTTTTGGTGTTTCTTGTTTGTTTTTAGCCTCCCTTTCATTTAAAGGGTTACCTCCTCGTCCACGCTGCTTCTGCCTCCGTAGGAGAAAGAACTGCCCTCACACAGAGGGAAGGACACGTGTATGTCTATTTCTGTTTCTGGTAGACGCTCAGTGAAGCCAGACCCCAGCAGGACAGAGCTCACAGCACGCCCTCCATAAATTCTCTAATGTAAATTCAGATCTGGCACCTCAGCTCTCTTGCTCTTCCCCCTCGGGAACCCGCGCAGCCACTTCTCCCAGGTTCAGGGATGCTAGGCTTCCGATCCTCTGGCTCTAGTCACTAGGACAATCAGGCACACAGTAGGTGCTCCATAATACTTATGCAATTACTTTTTAAAGTGTGTCCTCATCCCTGCATGTAGATTTCAGTCTTCTGAGGTACAATGTAAGACTTGCATGTGTGCCCGGCTAGCTCAGTCGGTAGAGCATGAGACTCTTAATCTCAGGGTCGTGGGTTCGAGCCCCACGTTGGGCGCAGGTTCCTTTTGAAGGGAAGAAGGCGCGATGCAGGTATCGAGTTTCCCTCCCGTTCGACAGCGGGTCCTCCTCTGCATCCTTGGCCAAGCAGACGGAAACTAGACGGGTGGTTACCAGTAGCCCAATAAAAGAATGCCCCAGCCATAGGCCCTTGCTGGCCAAAAGGGAGTGAATGAGTGCTGGTTGCTACCGGACAAATGCCCCAGGACATGTTCCTCAGGACACCGTTTTGCTTGCTGAAATTCGTCCATGGTCAACCATATTAGGCGTCTGGTCCAGGGCGAGCTGCGCAGAGAGGGAGGGTTACGGCGTGGCTTCTCTCTGCGAGGAGACCCAAGGGCCTCCAGAGTGGCGACCACCTTACTAAGTGACTTAAAAGCTGGCATTCTCGAGCTCTTGCCGCCGCCGGTTTTTTTGTTTGTTTTCGTCAGGAAAGAGGTACTCTTCGTAATCTGAGACCCCCCAAATTCTCTTTTTAAGGGTCCATCTTTTGTGAAATGTTGCCCCACACAGAGAGGAATGTAAAAATATCCTTTATTTTGGAACACTCTAACATGAACATCCTCAGTTTACTTGTCTTATCATGAAGTTCTTCCTTAACTTCAATTGAAATTCATTCCGTTACGTTAAATGGTTTTTTTTTTTTTTTTAGTCCTGCAAATTCAGCCTATTTTCTGTTTTCCGAATGTAGAAGTCTCCCTCACACGCCAGACCATAGGAGAAGTCTTGATCATGTAAAGCTGGTTTACTAAACTTGCTAAGCAAAGAATTGAATCTCCTTCGGCCTCAAAGTGTATGGGAATTAGGGAGGGTTTCACATGACACCCTATAAGGGCAGTCTGGACAGGAATTGATCAAAGTTTGTAAAATAGGTAGATTTGCTGGTAAGTCGTAGCTCACTCGTGCCTTCCTGGAGAGTTACTTTTACTGTGGTCTTATCTTGGAATTAATGGGTCTAAATAAACTTGTGTCCCAAGAGTTTTCAACTTTGACATTTTCTCTTGCACAAATATGGATTCATTTGCAAATTGTGGTTTCACGTTTTTGTTTTGTTTTTTAACAATCTTTACTGGAAAAGGAAAACATTCCTAAAAAAGATCCTGGCTTTTCATTAAAGGGAAGCCCAAGTGGCAGGCTTCTTGGTCCATCTCCCAACAAGCTGGGGCCACACCCTTCCAAGCTTTTTGCTACAATTTCTGCTTCTCTCTCCTCTCCACCGCTGCCCCTCCAGCCAGGCCTGGTTTGGAATCCCCTCTGGTAGGTGATCCAGGCTGCTCTTAGAACAAAGGAGTCAAGTGTTCATCAGTTCAGACATTCAGCAAACAGAAGGAACCCTACTAGGATCTTTGATCTTTTTCCTCCTTGGCTATGGAGGCCATGGAGGCAGTAGGATTCACTCTGATTTACATTCCAGAAGGATTCCTTTAGGAATGATAAGCAGGATGTGTGATGGGAATGAGACTGCATTAGACAGAAGGAACTGGATGGACACAGCCATGGTCTAGAAAGGAAGTGGCTGACCTGGCAGTGGCAAGACAGCAGCCAGAAGGGAGAAGGGTAAAGGAGCTAGGGGCATATGGTTTATATGTGGACAGGAGAGGGAGATCCCAGGTTTCTGCTTTAGATGGTTTAGTAACAGAGATCAGAGACTGAGTGTAAGAGTACTGACAACACTGACCCACTTTTGGCCCTCCATCCTCTTCAAGCCAGGCAATGACTTCCCTCCCACTACGTGTTCCAGTGCCCTGGAGGTTAATGTATGCCTGACCGGAATGCCCCTCATAACATAAAATCTAGGGATTAAGGTCTGGACTGGGAGGAGTATAGCTGTGGAGAATGTGGATGGAGAATGGCCTGGTAAGGCCTGGGTGGTCTGTGCTCACCCACTCTCCCTTTCAGTTAAGTTACTCTGAATAAAACTCTGTGAAAGCCATAATGGAGTAGCTTGCTTCCTTTTTTCCGTCTTCTCAGTTTAGAGGATGCTTGTACTGACTTTCCACCTTCTGACACTGAGGAGTGGGGTGAGAGGTGAGAGAGAAGTAATGAGTTCTGTCTTGAAGAGATTGGGAGATGTCTAAAAGGTTATGTCCAAGACTTGTGGATTTGAAGCTTGGGGAGAGTGGTCATTGCTGGAGCCACAGACATAGGGGTAGAGGCTGGGTCAAACTGTCAATGCCAATGTGACTCTCCAGGGAGATGGCCATCTGTAGATAGATGAACAAGGAGTCAGAATAGGAGTAAAGCTAGCAGCAAAGCTTCCACAGAGGCCAAGGGAGTTAAGATGTGCAAAAAAGGAGGGACAGATTGGTAGAGTCAAATTCCATACATGTTGTAATATGGGAAGGTGGTAAAACATATATGGATTGGGCCACCAGCAAGCCCCTGGTGACCTTGATCCTAGAGCCAGACTTGGACAAGAGGGCCTCCACCTTGTGCTCTGGTGAAGAAGGGCTTACCAGTTGCAGACAACTCAAGGATCCCGACTCAGTAGGAATCAGCCTCCAATCCAATTCCTGGCTCTGCAAGGTCTTCTGGAATCAGCT